GTATTATAGAAATTTTATTTTGGACTGTCAATACGTTTAGTACCACCATTTTAAATCATTCGTAAGAATTTTTTGATATTTAGTTTTAATAATAAAAATTCTGATGTAATATTATAAATAGGCGATTAATTTTGTATACTTTACTAAGTAAGTATTTTGTTTAATAATAGATTATTTTTATAACTCTTATTATTTACTATTCTATATTTTAGACCACGTTGTTTTTGTAGATTAATTTTACATATGGTTTCTGTAGAAAGTTGGAATAAAATGATTGAAACGACCTCTAATGATTCTATTTTAAATCTAATCAGATCTGCTGTACGTGGATATTATGATCACTTCTTAAAATAGAATAGTTCTTTTTTCAAATAACAAATATAACACGCGTATAAGCAATGAATTTCTGTCTAAGCGTCTTTAATGCCGATGAGGTACTTATGTATACGAGAGAACTTTATAAAGAGCATTCAAAATAATATCAATATTTTAAAACGTGTCCGACATAAAAAGCCACGTCTATATAACTTTTTATAGATACTAAATATAGGATAAAAGTCAATTTATGCTTTAAACGAATCAATAAATATCATTGCACATTGTCAACACATAGCTTTGTTCTTATTTAAATTCATATATTAGAATGTTCTAATTCAATTATATTTGTCCGAGACACACGAATATTCCTTTTCATCAAAAGTAAAGAACTCGTAGAGCATGATTTCAATCATTAACTATGTAAAATAGACCACCTAAATATTCTAAACAACGGGTACAAACCTTTCCACATTTCCTTCCATTAACAAAAACTCAAAATCATGCCTAAACGTTAAGGGATTAAATATACCTTTACTCTCCCCATTACCACGTTCATCAAGAGTGTCTCTTCGACCTCTCCAAGAACCATTCGATATGCAAACCCCAATTTTCTCAGCATCATTTTCATAGAAAAATAGTATACTTCCACGCGAATAAATGCAACAATTTTTAAATATTTTTTAAATATCTCTAATAGTTAAACTATCACAATTCGGCTGGAACAGCTGCGCCCTCCGCCACGAACAAAATGGCATCGCAACCGTCGGGTGCTCTTTGAAAAATGGCGGGACGGGCCAAGCAGCAGCGAATAGTTCCGCGCGCTGGATCGTCCACCGATCGTGGATCCGTGGATCGGATGCAGCTCGAGGCTTTGGCGACCGGCGCTGGTAAGCAATCGTGAGAACAGAGAGGAAAGAGTAGTTTCTTCCCTTTTCTCCAGCGAATCTCCATTCACATCATTTTCCTCGTTGTTTATCCGTCCTCGAGCAACGATCTCGAACGGCCGTCGCTCGATAAATCGCGGGACGTACCTCCCGGAACGAGATCTCGAGCGTGTCGATCCCCGTCAACCTTTTGATCGAACTTGCCCGATACACCGGCGCAACCAGCATCTGGTCGACGTGCGGGTAATAACATACTAATGTCAGCGCAACGGTATATAATACCGATTTAGCGCCGACACTTGTGTGCCATCAAGATAAAATTACTGTTAGTCACACACTTTTAGTAATATTACTAATATTATAACAACATAGTAACAGTACTAGCTCCGTTAGTATTAAAATATTACATTACCTACACGGTTATATTAGTATAACATTAGTATTAGTACGTGTGTATAGTACAATGGTGGTAATTGTCGACCGATGCAGGGGTGCCAGGGCGCTTTTACTGTCGTTGTAGCATGTTGCTAATGTGATTTTATTTTTGAAAGGTGTTTAATAAAGACTGTAGTTTGCAGGAGGAAAATAATTACATTCTACTTTAAATAGAGGAATAGTTTTTTTTAGAGCGATAGATCACTCAGAACCCTCTGTTACATGTATCCAATGAAGGACTGTATAGTAACAATTTTTGTGAAGATAACAGAAAATTGAACTGAATTTGTATATTATGGTCTCACATGGAGTTATCTAGTATCTTGACATAATACATTGCTAAAAGAAGTATGAGCTTTTAAAGGGTACTGCTTGAAGACCTCACTTTGCAGAAGGAAATTGGATGAGAGTTAGACTCAGAATCCTCTATTAAATAATGTCTCCAATTAAGAACAGGATAAAAACAATCCCTGTACAGATAACAGAAAATTGTACAGAATTTGCACATGATGATCTCGACGGGTTCATCTAGTAGCAGTACATATAAAATCAGTTACTATTCAAATGGAATATTAATTAATTCACGAGTAGTTTAGGAACGCAAAATATATAAAAATAAACAAATATTAATAATATACATATTAGAAGATAAGACATACTTCCATTTAAGTTTTCATTCTGTTTTCTGTTTCTATAAAAATATAAATTATACATAAACACTCTATTCATAAGTATACAAATTCATGCAGCAGAGGGTAGAGGAGCTACACTTTAAAGAAGAGCAGAGTAAATATAATGGACAAGACTGTGGGTCACGCTGGACTAGCAAACTCCGTCTTAAACACCAATTTTCTTCTAAAAATTATGATTCCTCGCAATGTAAACAACGTTGAGCACTCACGGTGTCGATCAAAAGGCGTTGAAGTCGATCTGGCCGTCGTCTCGACGCACCTACGAAGGAGCAACTTAATTTTACCAGAAAGATGTTTATATTACAACAGAGCAAATCGGGACAGAAATAAAGGCGGGTGGGGCACTGGATAAAATGGGGGTTCGCCCAAAACGGGCGTACTAAATGGTACCCAGCCGTGGCACGGCGTTATCCCCGAAGGATAATGCCGGACACGGTGGATCGGTTTACCTTCGACCTCCGTACTGATTCTCCTTTAATCAGGCACACCAAAGACACACACGCGCATCCACGCGCGAAACACTCGTGCACGGGACAACTACACACGCGACAAGTATAAAAAAAAAAAAAAAAAAAGAAAAGATCTGCACGCAGAAAGAGTCGGAAGCCCTTCGTCGCAACTCCCTTCGATGAACAGCCCAGACGTCAAGGTAATCAGGTGACAACCTTGAGCCCGGAATCGATGGAAAGGTGTTAACCCTTTGCACTCGTGTCCGTTTCACGATAAAGCATCGAGCACCTCGAGATTATTTCGACAGGATTTCTGAACGACCTGTCACCGGTATTCGGTATTCAGGATAGGGGCAAAGGAGGGGAGCAACATAGACACACACACACACACACACACACACACACACACACACACACACACA